ACACAGCTCAAAAGAATAGCATTAATTTTGTGTTCTACCTTCCACAGCTATGGTAAACTACGAAAAACTACAAAATAAGACTGGTCACGTAAAACAAACTTTTGAACCATCAAGAACACAAAGTAATAGACAACCACAGCATTTTGGACAAGATTACCTTTCACCAATTGGATACAGAAGATAAAAGCCAGTTATTAGTTGCCTTGCTGTGCGCTGACGCTTTAGTATAGCGACTTCTCCATCAGAAAGCACCACCAAATATTCTAATTGATATCTATTCCTCAGTCAGGAAGGACAACTTTTCTCTTTCTTATTAATTTCAAAAAGTCTCAAAATAAAGCTTTAAATAAAATCTTTTCATGCAGAAATTTTATTCAATGAATCTCAATGTGTCTCAAGGTTCTTTGAAGTTTCAGAATCGGTCTTGGAAAACTTTTGTACCCCATGGACATTTGTACCCCATGGACGTGTTTAAGAAATTACACATTGAAAGAAATCACATTTCCTTTAATCTAGCTTAAAATATCAAAGATTATTTGCGCGATATGAACTTCGAAGTGATTAGTGGACTTTCGTATCTTACCATATATGTAAGTGTGTTTGTTTAGAATGTACAGTATATGTTACCGCAAGTTCCGTTTCTTATCATACATGTAAATATGGTTGTTTATAATGTACAGTATATGTTACCGCAGGTTAACTGTCTGTTTTGAATAATTTAGAAAGTATGAAAGTCATGTCGTGTATACTAGCGTAAGTTTCATATTTTATAGTAAATATGGTGGTTTACAGCATATATAACGCTTATGATTATATGTATGTTAGTATGATTGACTATTGTAAATTTTATAGTATGTATATGAACGCCTGCTGTGTATTACCATAAATTATATCTTACTGTATGTAAGAACGATCTTGTGTTGTAAATGATATGACAGAGTCTGCTGTATATGTTATCTTAAGCACGAACCTCTGCTGTGTGTGTCACCTTGAGAATGTATATACGGTTCATGTATCGAAGGTATGAAAGGTCGGCTGCATAGAAGACATATAATTATGTCACTAAACACTAGAAATACGTTTGAAATAAAAATTCGTATTAAATTTTATTTTTTTCCGTTGAATTATTCATATAGCTAGTTAATGGTTCAATGTTTTAATGACCTAATTTTCAAACAAAAATAGGTCATTCTATAATATTGTTTGGCTAATAATTAAAGTACGTTTAATGAATTATTTTTATTTGGGTCATCAACATCCTTGAAAATGCGTTACAAAGTGCTTTTACTCGTTGATTTAGATGTCACATTCAATATAGACACTTTACAAAAAAAACCGGAATTTTATGACTTGTAGGCAAACTTAAGAGACAGGTGCCCCCACCAATGGTGACCTAAGGACAACAACAGCAGACTGGACAACAAACGTACGGACCTCCTCCAAGTTACGGACAACAACAGCAATACGGACAAGGTTACAGACAACCAAAAGGCTATGGTTCACCTGTAGAATTTTCTCAGGGTACCATAGAAAAAAGTCAAACAAAGAAAGACTTTGTTGGAAACAATAAAAAAAACTTACCTTTTAAAGTAATTTAAAAGTAATTTGAGACCTTAAGGAATAAGAAACCTCCAACAAATCGGTAACTTCTTTTTTCTAATTTTAGAGATGATTACTATTTCGAAGAACAGATCTTTATCAATTTTGTTACCATTGAATAGATGTGTTACCATTGAAGATTTAATTTTTTTATCAAAGAATTTTGTCCTATTATTCTTTTTTCACATTAAATCAAAACTTAATGATTATTAGTTCATGTACATTTTTGTTAATATGCAACAAATAAAAAAAATGTATATGGGTTTTTGATTGATGAAGACTTCTATTGTGTATTAGCAATGACAAATCCATGTAGTCTTTCTATTCAACAGTATTTTTAAAAGCCAATTTTTTTTTAATTTATGTTCTTGAGGTAATTTGTCAGCCCGTTTCAGAATTTTTGATTTTGATTGCTTAGTTCCTTTGTATCTAATGACATTATTGTATAAGAATTTATATATTTTAAATATCATGTATCTTGTTTTTTTTTATATTATACTGAAAAAATAAATCATAAAATCATCCCATTGTCCATCTTTATTTCTGAATTCATTATTTTTTTCTTCGAAAAGATTTATGTATTCTTAGATTAATATTAAAATTAGTAAATCTACTAACCTGGTCATTGGTCATTAGCAAAATTATTTTGTTAAAACACATTCTGATTGCACATATACGAAAGCCCAATGAGCTCATTTTCGTAGGTAAGAAAACTATTTTTTTTTCGCGTTATAACGCGAAACTTTCACGAATAAACGCGAAACTTTCGCGAAAACAAACGCGTAACTTTCGCGTTATAACGCGAAATTTTCGCGATATACCGCGTAACTTTTGCGTTATAACGCGAAACTTTCGCGAATAAACGCGTAACTTTCGCGTTATATCGCGTTACTTTCGCGTTATAACGCGAAACTTTCGCAAATAAACGCGTAACTTTCGCGTTATAACCCGAAACTTTCGCGTTATTTCGCGAAAAAAATGATGCAAGAATAGGATAGATTAGTCATCAGAGTATTTTATTTTATTTTATTACCTTACTATTAATTAATAAAATGAATTTAATTTTCGTGTACATGTTTTTCAATTGTTAAATTCTTTAGACTGATTATTTCTCCACTTGACATTTTTTTTTTTCTGGCTGTTTTTTAATCAGTAACATTTACTACAACTGTACCACTAGTAAATTAAGCAATCAATCATTTTGGACAAAAAATTATACACTGTAGAAACATAACTTAAAAGTGAATGAACAATGTATAATTTCGTTGTCTCCAAAATTTTTTATATTGGGTTATTGAGAAGTTCGTGGACTAGCCATAAATAAAAACTATGAAGGTATACAGCAGAGTTTGTTCACTTTGAATTGTCAATGTTTTCGTAAGCAATGGAATGACAACGTGGTGCAACCTCAAAATAGGATATCGAATTTCCACAGTGAATCCAACGGAGACAAATGAAAATCTGCTATCCAATTTTCACATGTGCGGTGGGACACAATTGACAAATTTACCTCATTTTGTCAATTTTCTGAGATCTTGATCTCTATAAAATGAAATTATTATCAAATTCTCTAGAGAGTGCATAAAAAAACGGAAAGGGGTGATTTTCCCCGAAATTAATAATCTTGAAGTTTTACTTTTGGAAAACTCGCATAAACTTTGAATTGTTTGAACAACGTTGAGAAAGACAAATTGTGGCGGTATAGATGGATTCAATAGCAAGAAAGCTTAAGACTTGTGATAGTCCAAGATCAATATAGCCTTTTGCTTATCATTGTATTGAATAAAATTGATGACAAAATCAAAAGAACGTTGAGACTAAAGCATATGTCTGTTAAGACAGCAAAAGTTTCGCGTTAAAACGCGAAAGTTTCACGATATATCACGAAAGTTTCGCGTTATATCGCGAAAATTTTATTTTCCTTTCCTACGAAAATGAGCTCATTGGGCTTTCGTACACATACAAGTACTCCTAAGTTAATATCAAAGAGATGCTAAAGTTTTTGATTGACAATATCTATGTGATTTTTGGAGACCGGGTACTCCAAGAATCTATTAGAATACCCATGGGTACCAATGGCGCTCCGTTATTAGCACACCTATTTTTATATTCATATGAAGCAGAATTTGTATAAAATCTTATGCGTGAAAAGAAGAAAAAAACACTTGCTGTGGCCTTCAACTCGACATTTAGACATTTCGACGACGTATTGTCAATTAGCAATGGTAATTTCCATTCCTACGTCAATATGTTATATCCTGGTGAGCTTGAGAGAAAAGATACCACTGATTCTGACACATCTGCGTCATACTTGGATATTGTACTTGAAAAAGATGTTACTGGTAATCTAACAACCAAGCTATATGATAAACACGATGACCTGCATACGGAGTATATATATCTCAGTTGATTCGATACGCAAGAGCATGCTCTACGTATGAACAATTTTTAAAACGAGGTCGATTATTGACATGCAAGTTGATAAAACAAACATATCAGCAGTTTCGTTTAAAGTCATCATTTCGTAAGTTCTATGGTCGATACGATGACCTTGTCAGCGAACATAATTTATCATTGAGTCAAATGCTGACTGACGTTTTCATACCAATTGTTAGTCCATTTTTTAAACACTGAATTGACGACGGATTTTCCCGTTATTTCCCGATCATAACTAGGAGCATACGGCGAGTGTGACCGGTTAGCAGGGGATGCTCACTCCCCCAGGGCACCTGATCCCACCTCTGATGTTTCAGAGGTCCGTGTTTGCTCTGCTCCTATTTTGTATCGTTTTATGGACTTTGAAATTGAATACTGTTCGTTATATCCATATCCTTCTATCAGCCAATCAACTTCATTATCAGTGAAGCAAGCTAGAAATAGAAGTGACAGTGTTCATGGACTAGATAATCCATTCGAAGTAAATGCATACTCAACTGAAGAAACACATCCAGCAACTCCTAGGGAACTTTTTCTGAAACTAATCAAGATTATGAAATTTAGAAGATGGTACACATAAGTATTCGTCCATCCTATCAGAGTATCTCTCAAATTCATATGGGAATTTAAATCCTATACAAAATTATTATATCATACGGTGACCTCTATGTACTCGTATGATTGAAAAATTCTCAAAAGGGGCGTGAACCAACGTAACATAACAATCAGTCAGTCAACCAACCACTCATCATGTGGATCATGATGCTAACATCATGTGGATCATGATGCTAATGTATTAATTTCAGGTATCATGATTTTCTTAAGAGATCTAGTTAGAGAATTAAGTACATTATTCATTTATTTTTGAAGATGTATGTAAGATCTATATTTCTTTAAGTTAAGAGAGAGAGAGAGAGAGACAGAGAGAGAGACAGAGATTATACTGGGCATTTAGGAAAAAACAAATCGAAAGTACGAAGAAATATGAACTCAATGGGTTGAAACCTTATGCAAACATAATAATTATATATAAATAGTGAAACAAAACGTTACACAAACATTGAGCTACAATAGGCGTGTAACGATATTATAATTGTATAGATGTTTTATGATCTTTTCATCATCTATTCATTATTGTGAATAGGTACAGCCTTCCATATGTTATAATGCTAGCAACTAAACAAAAGAACTAGGTCATTCTGAAGGGGTTTTGACTATCAACAATATCGAAACCACCACTTTTTTGTATGGCGTCGAACAATGAGCTAGGGTTTTTCATATATTATAAAACATGGGGAAATATGTATCGTAGTGTTTTCAAAATTGAAAGGAATGGAATCTGACATATTTGTTTTATTCATTTTACATTCTAGCTTTTTATACCTTTATATTGTTCCTGAAGGTAGGTTTGCTTATCTTGACTCATTTTTGTTAAATGCTATTTCTTCTATTTTCACATTTTGCATAATTTATACATAGAACACTTAAGGACCTTTCTTGACATTTTAAGTTAAACAAACTTGTGCAATTAACAAATTTTGGATCAAAGTATTGCAAGATTATTTTCAAGAATAAATAAATACATGTATATGGAGAGACAGATCCATTAAATTTGCAGCACACGAAACTTGCAAATGGTGAAATGTTTTATACATTTAATTTAATTAATCATTTAAAGTGGGCAATTTTTACCTCAATGGGCTCAAACGTGGCTTAAGGAAGAGAAAACAATTTAAATGCTATGTCATGTAACTTGTAACAATGAAACAGCTATCTCGATAGATTGAATTAGTAAACTCTTTAAAATTATAAAATTAACTCTGGATATCTCGATCGTTAAAACAAGATAATTATCTCTTTATATAATTATAAGGAAATACATGTAACTTACTCGTTTAAACAAGGTAATTAACTTGTTATAACGAGATTCAAGTGTACCTACTCGATATAATACTTAGTAAAACAATTTTTTTTACCTTATTAGAAATTTAAGAAGCCTTTCCAGCTTTGTTATATGAATGTCATAATATTAACACAATCATAAATATTTTTAAATGTAGCCAGGCCTATATCTTGATGAATAAAATTCAATACTGTAAGGTTGAATTCTAAGAAAATTACTTATAGAAGGATAAGGTCTGTTCTCATGATCAGCATTGCATGGATGCATTTTTTTCTTGTCATAGGCACTATTGCAGGAACAGTTTCCACTGCAGCCTCTTTCACAGCCACTATTGGAAACTCTATTAACTTCACATGTACATATACACTAGACTCTGGTGATACGGTCCCTCCAGGAGCTATTTCGTGGCAAGTTAAATCAGGCCCGGGACCAGAGGAGTTTACAAACATAGCCTCTTTTTCTCCTCCTGGTTCAAGTGGATCTCAATCCTTTACACCGTTTGCCACTGATTACAAGAATCGAACTGAATTATTCAATGTTACAGCTAATGGAGCTAATTCTTATGTTGTTATGATGAGAGTAAACGAGGTGGTGTGTTCAGATGAGAATCACTATAGGTGCTCTGTTTTATTTATTAATACTGGTTCCGGTCCCATAACTAAGACACAAGAAACATCTCTCACAGCTAGAGGTAAGTATTTTTAGTTTTCCTTAAGTTCTGTTAATTAAATAATTTATTTATTTTCAAAAGGTGTCACAGAAAAGTGTTATATGTATCCAGTTTAAATTAAATTTCATGAATATGGTATCCCGGTATGGCCATTTCAAAAGTGTATTACATGTAGCGCGTTAGACACAACAGGAAAACGCGTTAATGACAACGCGCTAGCGCGTTAATACAGCGATAAGGCCATTGTGAAAGTGAATAAGCGCGTTAAAAACAACACACAAGCGCGTTAAGGACAACGCGCTAGCACGTTTATGACAACGTGCAAGCTTGTTATTGACAACAAGCTAGCACGTTGTTAGAAACAACACATAAACACATTAACGTAGGTCGCGGGTTTTCAGAGCTTTTAAAAGTGTCCGAAAACATACCATGAAAATTACCTATATGATTTCTCTACCTTTGGTTTCCATTTTCTTGTTGTCATCAACGCGCTTGCCTGTTGTTTCTAACGCGCTGATAAACTTTTGCAATGGCCCTATCTGGACACCATACTTGAATGCAAATAAAATAAATGTTTAAAAACATATCTAAAAATAATTTAAAACGTATATTTTAGCCCCTGCTGAGCAACCTTATGACATTCCAGTTCCTGAACCAGACAATATAGAAGAGAACATGGAAGTGACTTTGTCCTGTACAGCCAATGTTGGAAAACCTCTTGGACAAATCAGGTGGTGGCGCTACAGGAATGGTATAATAACTCCACAGGAAATGATAGGAGTGTCTACCACCACCCCACCAGTTCAGAGAGGCGTGTGCGTCTACAACGTGACGAGCACAGTAACATACAGGATGACTAGAGATGACCACCAGTCGGTATTGAGATGTTTCGTGGATAATGAATTGTTGAAAATGCCAGACCGAGACAAACCTTACCAAGAATCTAAGAGGATTAATGTATATTGTAAGTATGTGAAATGTAAAACAATTGAAATCATGATAAGTCACATCATCATGTACATTTTACGGTCTTTTTTGGATATGAAGTGTGTTAAACCAATGTACTTAAAATGCCACTTTTTCTTGTAAGTATTGAATGAATATGAGTATTGTATTCTTTGGTGCTAAGATTACCATTTTCCGGAGAGTGTTTCTGAATATATTTACAGTTCAAGTCATTGTTCCCATAATAAGGAAGATACCAGACTCTAGTGCTGACTCCCAGTATTTTATTGGCTCCACTGTGACCTTGATCTGTGAAGCTGAAGGTAATCCAACTCCTGGGATCCACACAAATACGACTGTCAACAGGTATTTATGGGCATTCAAGACCAGCCCCAGTGACAATGCTAGAGAGTTATCATCCAGCAATGGGACACTAACTCTGACCAATCTTCAGGAAAGTTATACAGGGATTTACACTTGTACTGCATGCAATGGATTCAATGGGAAATTCTTTAACGCATCTAATAGCGTAAAGTTACACATTGGTAAGTGTTTGAAAGAAAGGGTAACCTTTTATTTTTTTTAACTTTCTTTTGTGTTACATATATCGTGGTGGTCTGGTATTATTTCATCCAACTCGTTTTATTTTCTACCCTTGGACAGAAAATTCACAACCCGTTGGATGAAATTGTTTCCAAACACAAAAACAATTGAACATCCCATATCTGTAATGAATAATTAAAGTACATGTTATTGTTATAAAATTTATTTTCCCAGTGTTTATTCTCTTTTCGTTCTTGAATATGATTTTTAATTTTATTTTTCTTTCAATTTGCCCTCGAAAGCGTGATTATAGCTTGTCAATTAAGACAAATCATCTTTTCTTTCTCTGGCAGTAAAAACGACAACCACTATCTTCACCGCCACATCTTCTACGACACCTTTTGAAAGAACATCTAAAATGTTCACCACTACACCACAGAAAGGGCTGGGTAATTTTCTTTTTTTATTTTCTTGTGGTTCAGTTAGAACTGTTATTACCTTAGGGATGAGAGAAAGTTTTTTTTAATCAAAGGGAAGATATCATAAATATAAGAGTTCAAAGGTTGCACCAAAGACGCTATTACACGAATGTTCAAGTTTGTAAACAGTATTTTAAATAAATGCAATACCGGTTAGTATTCCTCAAAATATTACATGATTTTTCTTTATTCTTTTGTACTATAGTGTCTCTCGTTTACTGAATAGGTATGTAATTCTAATACCCACCATCAATAATAATTCCAAGTTTTAAGAAAAATACTCTGGTTATAACCTGATAATTGATAACAAAAAGTAAACATAGTTTATGTTATATAACCATTGCTACATAAAACTTTCAAATAGAAGCAAAGTACAAAGACCTTAGGCTACTTATTTTGATTGAACTAAATATGTAACTTTGAAAACTGTATTGTTCAGAAACAAATCTTTGGATATAATTGACTTCTGACCGTGCATAATACTTTTTACAGAGGATTTTTTTCTCAAAAATTTATAAATATGGAAAGTAATAGATCAGTATTAAAAAAATTTTTTTTTTATATGTTTTAGCTCACCTGAGCCGAGGGCTCAAGTGAGCTTTTCCGATCAAAATTTGTCCGTTGTCTGTCGTTGTTGTCGTAGTAGTAGTTGTTGTTGTTGTCGTTGTAAACTTTTCACATTTTCATCTTCTTCTCAAGAACCACTGGGCCAATTTTAACCAAACTATCCTGGCACAAAGTATCCTTGGGTGAACAAATTCAAGTTTGTTCAAATGAAGGGCCACCCTTTTCCAAGGGGAGATAATTGTGAATTAGAGAAAAATTGATGGCATTTTAAAAAAAATTTTCTTCTCAAAAACCACTGAGCCAGGAAAGATGAAACTCAGGTGAAATCATCCTCAGGTAGTGTAGATTCAAGTTTGTTCAAATCATGATCCCAAGGGGTAGGATGGAGCCAAAATGGCCGATCAAAGTTTTACATTAGAATATATAGAAAAAAAAATCTTCTTCTCAAGAACCACTAGGCCAGGAAAGATGAAACTCATGTGAAATCATCTTCAGGTATCATAGATTCAAATGTGTTCAAATCATAACCCCCGGGGGTAGGGTGGGGCCAAATTGATCGATCAAAGTTTACATAGGAATATATAGGAAAAATCTTTTAAAAATCTTATGCTCAAGATTCATTGAGACAGGAAAGATAAAACTCATGTGAAATTATCCTCAGGTAGTGTAGATTTTAGCTTTTTCAAATGATTACCACCGGGGTAGGGTGGGACCAAAATGGCCGATCAAATTTTTTACATAAGAATATATAGGAAAAATCTTCGATCCAAGTTTTTCATAAGAAATATAAGGAAATCTTTTAAAATATCCTTTTCCAGTATCTCAAAGCCATGATTAGTGATATTTAATTTTATATGGAATCATCCTCAGGTTGTGTAGATTCTAGTTTGTTCAAATTATGAACCCCTGGGAGGTTAAAATTTAAGCCCCTCCCCCTTCAACCTCCTTAAACTTTTATTTCTTATCTGATATTTGCTTTTTCCTAGCCGGTGTGCTCAGGTGAGCGCTGTGGCCCCTGGGCCTCTTGTTCGTTTTCATCATAGGATAGCTGTTTTTCTCAAAATGTATTTTATAGTTATAATGTTAACCCACGCCCACTGAAAAGTTACATACTGTCAATAACGAATGTGATATTTGTATTCAATGTTATAAAGCATGCTACTCGGATAGCCAGTGTCAAGATTCTACCTATCATTGCTGTACTGGTACTATTTACTGCTGTCCGCTAGGAACCATCTGCACTGGGACCATCAACTGTATCAGTATCGGGTATGGGATCGAATTTTCTCTACACTACACACTAAAGAGTTCTGATTCTATTTGTATTTTTCTGCAGTTGAAATGATCTGACCTTAGATTTGAATTCCAATGAATAGAAATTTACATTAAATTACTCAATTTATAACCAATTTAGGTATTTAAACATTTTAAAGACCAAGATAAATTAAATGAACAATCTTTTTATTACATTTTTTTCTTAGGAAGTAAACAACATTGTTTCTGTTCACTGATACTGTGTTATATTTGAAAATATACCTGGAGGAATGCCATGCACCATGTATTGAAAATTTAATTGAGATAAGCTAAATAATTACATCTTTATTCAAAATAATTTTCTCAATGCTCAAACTCAACTGTACAAACTATAAAAATACTGCAATAGATTTTTTGCTCAATTTATGATATGTGATGAGAAATTATATATTGTATAAAATAAAAAGGGGGTTAAGAAAGTTTGTTCTATTTCCTTGATGAAATATTTCGAAAAATTCAAAGTAGTGTGTTAGATTTTTGCAATGCTTTCTAGCTTGAAAGGTTTTTCTTATGTGTGAAAATATATCTTTAAAGCACCCTTATGATTGACATGCTGTTCAGTTTGTATGAAAAAGTCATACATGTCCAAGAACGAATAAAAAAGTAATCTTTCGATACCCTTACTACATCGTGTCTTGTACCATAGTTAGGTGTAATTTCTTTTGTGAAAAGTGTGGGTTTCTGTACATAACCCACACTTTTCTATAACTCCGCCCATCGAGTCGGGACAAAAGAACTATTTATAAAACGATCATGCACGGATTTTAATTGAAACGATCATCGGGCTTGTTATACCAAATTTAGGAGAGTAAAAAAGAGTAAAAATTTCAATTAAATACATCATTTTGTAATAAATAACAGTTAAAAACGGCCGTTAATACTTTAACTCTTATTAAAAGTGAAGAAGAAAACTTCAGAAATCGTTTGATTTTTTAAACATTTTTAAATAGTGTATTGACCAGGGTGACGTTAGCTTAGTAGATTCCAATATATCGTTCTTTTGATAACCAACAAAGGAAACACGGTGCACACTTGACGTAAAAACAAGTGTACACTACTGTACTAACATGTAAATAACCTTTTCGATCGCGGATCTAGCCCACCAAAGATCAAATTTTCATTAAATTGATATATACATATAACCCCTAACAAACATTTCAATCAACGAATCACTGTGCACGGCAAAGTTTGTATCAGGTTTACAAAAATTTAAGTTAAACCAAGTTCATAATAAATTTAGATTACTAGTATGTAATTTTGACGATTGTAATTTACAATCCACTGAATAATTTCTCCTTTATTTCTCAAGAAAACCCATTGCGTTCATCACTGCATGAACTACATTAGGCATGTCGCCAGTACAGATTTCTTGATTAGTGGCTGTTCCATTAATGAAACGTATAAAGACATTTGCATCATTCATACAATAATTAACCTCTTTATTCAAACTTTAAATGATTATTTAAACAGATATAAATATAAAAAATAAAATGCTTTCTTTGTTTGTTATTACTGGAATGAACGGTGGCAGCTATTGCAGAAAAAATTTACATAACCCGCTTACGCGGGTTATGTATTTTTTCTGCAACAGCTGCTTCCGTTCATTCCAGTAATAACAACCAAAAAATAAGCATTTTATTGTTTAAAAAAAATCATATCAAATTAACATACATGTATATCATTGAAACCAAACTCGTTATTTTTTCAATTACATAAATCAAACTTTTTAAATGGGCCTAGATATGTTTAATGTTTATGTCGCTTGCGTGGCCCAGTGGTTAAAGCGCCTGTCCTAGAGCCACAAAGTAAGGAGTTGAATCCCACTGTGGGACTTGGAGATCTATAAAGTATAAACAGAGGTCCCGTATCGCAGAAGGTGTTGACAGGAAAAAAATCCCTCAATGCTCAATGACCATGAGTGACGGGTATGCATGTAGGGAAAAAATTGTAGCAAAATTTGAAAAAAAAATTGTATTCAGATCACTTACCCTTTATTCGATGGACGTGGTCAGGAGGACACGAAGGAGCATAAAATCATATAAAATCCAAATGCATAAGATTCTTTGAAACCAAACTCTTAATGTTTCAATCACGCGAACCAGTCCGTCCGATTCCTAAGCTGACTTACATATGAATGATTTTAAAAAACTATGGTACAAGTCATTTACCCCATATTACACTGTTGTTGTGTGTAGATATCCGATGGGCGTGGTCAAAATGACAACCTTGGAGCAACACTACCTCGTGTCATTAGGAAAACGCCCATCGGGTATCTACACATAACCAACAGTATGATATGGGGTAACTACTACTAAGACACACTCAAAAACGTAGAATTATTTACTTTTGGTTCTCAGAGCCTATCTTGTATTATACAGAACTAAAGAGATAAGATATAAACTAAGAAAAAAAATATTTTTCAAAAGAATAGGTTTGTCAAATAGAAATTTTTTGCTTGCTTGATAAATTTTGCATAGTATTAGAAAGGATTTACTAAACTATATGCTTAATACATATCACAAATATGCTGTATTCCTGGTGTTTTTGCACAGACATCATTTGTTTAATACCCATCTCCCTTTGTTTCAACAAAAGGCAGTTAAAACCTTATCAGAAGTAAGAATGGACTCTGTAAATATGGAATATTACTAATTGTTTATATCTTCTCATCGTACATTTTCTTTATGAAAATCAAAGTAAATTATGAAATAAATTTTTTAACATCCTTTATAAGAAATATAAAATTATACAGTCTACTTTAATGAAGTACTACAAAATAAGACATATGCAAGGGATTTATACAGAAAATAAAAAAAAAACACAATTGTGAGATTCTCAAATTTTATGATTATCATAATATTTAAAATTTCAAGAGTGTGTATTTTAAACTTTTTTTTTATAATATCCTCTTACAGAAATTCATTTTATTATTTTATCATAAAAATTGTGCAATAGAAAACCAAGTCGGTTCCCTGGATATTTTTTTTCGTATCATGCCCTCCAATGTATTCAAATGATACCTCAAACAAAAGAGTTTACAAATCTAATCCATTTTGCCTAAAATTATATCTTTTTATAATAAGATTCATAAAAATATATAGAGGCATGACCAACAAAGTTATCAGTATCGAAACTTAACATGAAATACATGTATGTGGAGATTATAATTTAAACAATATTTTATTATGAATGAACATAATAGGATCGGACAGCAGGCACTGCCTATATAAGTCCTTTCAAAAATACAAGATCAAAGTCATACATGTACAAGTAAATATTAGTAATATAACAAGATAAGCATAGTTGCTCCGTAAAATATCAAAATAATTAGAAAATCATTAATTAGACGTGTTAAAAATAATTTTAATTTGTATGATGAATAGAAAACGCTTAAACGCAAATTAAGTCAAATCATGTTAACCATGATCAGAATGTTACTGTATTTAAACCTTCCACTGATCTATAAATAGACACAGAAATGCGTGTGTGTGGAGATAAAGAACATATTCGAGCTAAAAAGTACATTAAACATTGTGAAATATGAGCGAACACGAGCCTCAAAAACATCTAAGAACCAAATCTGGTAATGTTCATTCTTGACTAGATTAACTGAAAATTAACAGAACGACAGCAACTAACCTTATTGTGACCTTTCCATTTATATTAGTGACCAATTAGTGGTCTATTGGGCAAGGTGTCATTCTATTTTTTTTTATGAAAGTGAAGTAAACTACCGAGAGGTACATGTATATGGACGTCAGGATTGCTACCCCAAAAATTTGTTTCTATTAGTTATGAAATACCTCAAATACACTATGTATCACAGACACTAAAAATAACGACATAAGGAAGGGAAATGAAATATTAAAAGCAACGAGAATTTTTTTTTGAATGATTAATCATAAGTTGTTTAGCGTCCCTCTCGAGAATTTTTCACTTATATGGAGACTTTGTTTAAAGTAAGACACAATTTTAAGTATGTTAAGTTTTGATAAAATACAATATCAGAAGATTAAATATAAAATATATTCATTTCACTCGAAGGATCGTGTTAAAGGTATTAAAAAAAATAAAACTTCTATTACAAAAGTATTTTACCAGTATCGTTTTATCTTATACTGACAGAACAATTGTGGGTTCCCTTGTTGGTGGAGTTGTTTTTATTATTAGCTGCATCGTCTGTTTTCTATGCAACCGTAAGTATTGTTGACTGCTGTACATGTAACGATAAGTATTAACGTCTGTTGTGTATGTAACAGTAAGTATAATCGTCTGCTGTATATGTTACAATAAGTATAAACGTCTGCTGTACATGTAACAGTAAGTATAATCGTCTGCTGTATATGTTACAATAAGTATAATCGTCTGCTGTATATGTTACAATAAGTATAAACGTCTGCTGTACATGTTACAGTAAGTATAATCGTCTGCTGTACATGTTAAAATAAGTATAATCGTCTGCTGTATATGTTACAATAAGTATAATCGTCTGCTGTATATGTTACAATAAGTATAAACGTCTGCTGTACATGTAACAGTAAGTATAATCGTCTGCTGTATATGTTACAATAAGTATAATCGTCTGCTGTATATGTTACAATAAGTATAAACGTCTGCTGTATATGTTACAGTAAGTATAATCGTCTGCTGTATATGTTACAATAAGTATAATCGTCTGCTGTATATGTTACAATAAGTATAATCGTCTGCTGTATATGTTACAATAAGTATAATCGTCTGCTGTATATGTTACAATAAGTATAAACGTCTGCTGTACATGTTACAGTAAGTATAATCGTCTGCTGTATATGTTACAATAAGTATAATCGTCTGCTGTATATGTTACAATAAGTATAAACGTCTGCTGTACATGTTACAGTAAGTATAATCGTCTGCTGTACATGTTAAAATAAGTATAATCGTCTGCTGTATATGTTACAATAAGTATAAACGTCTGCTGTACATGTTACAGTAAGTATAATCGTCTGCTGTACATGTTAAAATAAGTATAAACGTCTGCTGTATATGTTACAATAAGTATAAACGTCTGCTGTATATGTTACAGTAAGTATAATCGTCTGCTGTACATGTTAAAATAAGTATAAACGTCTGCTGTATATGTTACAGTAAGTATAATCGTCTGCTGTACATGTTAAAATAAGTATAAACGTCTGCTGTATATGTTACAGTAAGTATAATCGTCTGCTGTACATGTTAAAATAAGTATAAACGTCTGCTGTACATGTTACAGTAAGTATAATCGTCTGCTGTACATGTTAAAATAAGTATAAACGTCTGCTGTACATGTTACAGTAAGTATAATCGTCTGCTGTATATGTTACAGTAAGTATAAACGTCTGTTGTGTATGTTACAGTAAGTATAAACGTCTGTTGTGTATGTTACAGTAAGTATAATCGTTTGCTGTACATGTTACAGTAAGTATAATCGTCTGTTGTGTATGTTGCAGTAAGTATAAACGTCTGTTGTGTATGTTACAGTAAGTATAATCGTCTGCTGTACTTGTTACTGTAAGTATAATCGACTACTGTACATGTTACAGTAAGTATAATCGTCTGTTGTACATGTACAAGGTTCAGTAAGTATAATCGTCTGCTGTACATTTTACAGTAAGTATAACCGTCAGCTGTATAAGTTACTGTATAAGTATAATGTCTGCTTTATATTTTACTGTTAGTATAACCGTCTGCTATACAACTTACAGTGAGCTTAATTGTCTGCTGTATATGTTACTGAGAGTATAACCGTCTGTTGTACATGTAACGTTAAGTATAAACGTCTGTTGTGTATGTTTCTGTGAGTATAACCGTTTGTTGTGTATGTTTCTGTGAGTATAACCGTCTGTTGTGTATGTTTCTGTGAGTATAACCGTCTGTTGTGTATGTTTCTGTGAGTATAACCGTCTGTTGTGTATGTTTCTGTAAGTATAACCGTCTGTTGTGTATGTTTCTGTGAGTATAACCGTCTGTTGTGTATGTTTCTGAGAGTATAACCGTTTGTTGTGTATGTTTCTGTGAGTATAACCGTCTGTTGTGTATGTTTCTGTGAGTATAACCGTCTGTTGTGTATGTTTCTGTGAGTATAACCGTCTGTTGTGTATGTTTCTGTAAGTATAACCGTTTGTTGTGTATGTTTCTGTGAGTATAACCGTTTGTTGTGTATGTTTCTGTGAGTATAACCGTCTGTTGTGTATGTTTCTGTGAGTATAACCGCCTGTTGTGTATGTTTCTGTGAGTATAATCGTCTGTTGTGTATATTTCTGTAAGTATAACTGTCTAATGTACATATAAGAGTAAGTATAACTGTCTGCTGTTTGTTTTACTGTAAGTATAATAATCCTCTGTTCATGCAAAAGTATGTATAACCGTCTGCTGTACAAGGTGCAGTAAGTATAATCGTCTTTGTACATATTTCCATAAGTATTATCTTCTGCTGTATTTTGTTACTGTTTGTATAACGGTCAGCTGTATATGTTACAGTAAGTATAATCGCCATGATATGTATGTTACTATGAGTAAAATCGTCTGCTTTATATGTAACAATAAGTATATTCGTCTGTTGTGTATGTTACAGTACGTATATTAGTCTTCTCTATATATTACCGTAAGTATTATTGTCTGCTGTATTTTGTTACAGTTCAGGTAAGAATAACCATCTCTTGTATTTTGTAAATGTTAGCATTATCGTCTATTGTATATATTACTGTAAGTATAACCGTCTGCTGTATATATTACAGAAAGTTTAATCATCTGTTATTTATGTTTTCATGAGGATAACCGTCTGTTGTGTGTGTAACTGTAAGTATAACCGTCTGCTGTATATATAACTGTAAGTATAACCGTCTGCTGTACAAGTTAATTAAGTATAACCGTCTGCTGTACAAGTTACAGTAAGTATAATCGTCTTCTGTACATGTTACGATAAGTATAAACGTCTGTTGTGTATGTTACAGTAAATATAATTCTCTTCTGTACATGTTACAGTAAGTATAATCGTCTATCTGCTGTATAAGTTACTGTAAGTATGATCGTCTGCTGTATAAGTTACAGTACATGTAAGTATAACCGTCTGCTGTATATGTTACTTTGGGTATCATTATCTGCTGCACAAGTTACAGTAAGTATAACCCTCCGCTGTATATGATATTGTAAGTATAACCGTCTACTGTACAAGTTACAGTAAATAGAATCGTCTGCTGTATATGTTACAGTAGGTATTATCGTCTGCTGTGTAGGTCACATAAAGTATAATCGTCTGCTTTATATGTTACAGTAAGTATAACCGTCTTTTGTGTATGTTACAATAAGTATTAGCGTCTGCTGTATTTTGTTACCGTAAGTATTACCATCTGATTTATTTTGTTAACGTAAGTACAATAGTCTGCTTTTATGATACAGTACTCGTAAGTGCTGCTGACAGTATAATTTTACCTTAAGAAATAATCGTATGAAGCGTAAAGCTGCACATGTTATAAATCGGTTCTATATGTTAAACCACCTAAAATAACTGTCTGTTGTTCATGTTGCTGTTAGTGATCGTAATTGAGTATATTATTACATATTTACATTTCCAATGCCTTTGTCCGAGATAAAATTACTTATAGATAATGTAATTTATTTCTACATAAGTGTACATTGTTCTTAGATATGCGCGTTTAAAAAAATAGGTTCTGGGCGGGACAAATAGAGACAGAAGCGTGCATTAGCGGAATCAAGAGCATGTGAATTTAAGTAAGATCTGTAAGATTTTCTAATTTCATGACGATGATCAATCGATTGGCTTGAGTGATGATTTCATGCATAAATGCCTGCTCACATCTTGAAATCAAAATATAAGACATTTATTCTTTAATAATTCCGGTTGAGTTTACCATTTTGCATTACGGCACGAGCTTTTTTCCACAGATGCACCAAGTGTAATCAATCAACCCCCCCCCCCCGCTGAATAATTGGATGACTTGTTTTATCAATACTGGCATGGAAATAGTCTGTTGCACGAGCAACGAATCAGGGATAAGAAACTTCCAGTCATAAAGCTTGAAGATGGACGCGTGTACTATTTAGTTTGAGCGCAGCTGTCATTATAGGTTTTGACGTAATTGCAAAATGGCCCAAATCAAGAACATTGAAACATTTAAAGCAGAATTACATTAAATTGATAACAATGCTTTCGTCAAATTGTCAGTAAATATTATATTACATGTATTTCAAAAAAATCCATGGAGATTAAGCTACACTTTGGGGATTAACGTTTTTTTCAGATTATCTGAAAACGGGTACTAGTTCCTAAAAGTTATGTAAATTTCTTAGCCTCTAATGAATTTAAAACATCTGTGTTTATATATTTATATAAATACATGTTACCATATGTTTTTTAGTCAAAAGACAAACAAAATAAATGTATAAAATTGACATCTTGTTGATAATTTCTTCATTAAAGATTTTTTGGGGGTAGAAATACTACTTTTAGATTAAGCCTCCTATGAATGTGTCACAACATTCATTCACTGAATAATCTTTTAACATTTCCTTTTGACATTTTTAGGTCGCCGTAAACGCAAATTGCCTGCTTCAACAGTTATAATTAATTATGGACAGCAACAAATAAGAATTAACCACGAACAACAAACCTTTGGGCAATGTCCAGGACAAAGCTCTGAACAATCTCGAGCTCATCATTTCGGACAAGGTTATGCTTCACCCCCGGGATCCTACAGATAATGGTCAGCCAAACAGATCACTACATGTACAAGATAAAGTATTGACAGTACATATGTACATGATGTATTTGTCTGAGAAAAACAAGACCGATTCTAGTATTTCAGAAATAATTCATCTCAGCCCAAGTAGGAAATTTTGTTTTCCTTGATGTGAATAATTGATTACAAAGTTGAAAAAAATTTTCAGTAATTTTTTGGACATTTTGTGCTTGCACGTGATTATGTTATCAATTATTTAGTTCCAGTACTTAAAAAAAACACCACGTCCTGTAAAAGGACTTTTCTCAATTAAGACTTGAGGGGGTCGACTGGGGTTTTATTGTATGAAAACTACAATAGCGCAACTCTTCATTTTTATACCATATTTAACTTACATTAACTTCAATATACATGCAAAGTTTGAGGGACATCTCCAGTCCAGGTATTTTTGAGGGATAGTTTCAAAACACAGGTACATTTACTATAGGATTATAGAGGAAAATACCAATTTTAGTACTTTAAAGCATATTATATAAATACTACAGTATACTTTTTGTTCAAATAAAATATTTGATGAGATATTCTATATCATACAATATATGTAAGAAACAGAAAATTCTACCGTCTTGTTACTAGAGGGGGCATCTCAAAATACCTAAATTAACGAATGTTTCTGTTTTTATAGAATACTTAAAATATGACAGGCACAAAGGATTCATATGAAAACATAATAAAAATAATGAAAATAATAGTATTCTCAAGTTTATATATGTTTATTACTTTTTCTTTCAAACCATTTTTACTACCCCTTTCTTCAAGAGCGACAGTTTATCATAACGTCAAAAACACACTGTAACGACGTCAACCTACCTATCTGCAAAAAAAAAAATCATTTTACTATGATGCGCGAAATATCGCGCAATTGAAACCAGAGTCTGCCCCCTTAAGTCTACAAAATTAAGAAAATAAGTTCTAAAAATATGACACACGGATTTCTATGTTGGTGCTTGTATTTCATTTTTAAACTTTAATTTGTAATATTGAAGAGTTTACAGCCATGTAATAAGGGAATAAGTCTTGATTCAAAAAGCTCTTTATTCACCAAGAAAATTAAATACAAGACTTCAATATAATTCTAAATATGCCATTTTTTTCGATTGAAAATTCCCAACTGAAAGGGTACTTTTCTAATGTACATTAGATATCAATAAATATGGATTAATCATGATTAATGTGTCAATTAACTTATGAAAATGATATTTATGACTGTTGTATTATTACAATGCCGATTAAAGAAAACTTTTCTTAAGTCTTGATTTGACAAAAGCTGTCCTAATCGTATTATATAAACTAATTCATGCCTGTAATAGTTTTGAATGCTTTTGATTTATATTTTTAATGCATAAATAAAAAAATGTATTTCACTGAGATCTTATTGGATATTTTATGTTTCAAAAATTAAAGAATATTGTCTTTATCTGACATTTGTTAATTTGTTACTGTTTCTTAATTAAAGGCATACATATAAGACTGCATATTAATTTGAAAGCTTAGTTTGTTGATAAAGTCCACCTACAGGTTACGGTAGCCTAGTAATAGGGCGTTCCACTCCTGTTCCAATCGCCGCGTCGATTGATTGATTGTTGTATAACGTCCTTCTCGAGAATTTGAGACGCCACCACTTGCCGGTAAAGAAATGTTGTCCTATGCTCGGCACTCAAAGCCATTGCGCAGTGAGGGGTCTTTTTCCTGCTAACACCTACTGCGACACGGAACATTAGTTTATACGGTCATTATTTTATCATTAGGAATAGAAAAATGATTAAGAGTCAAAATCAGCAAGCATCGAGCATTGAATGGAAAGTCAAAATTTTATTTTTTCAAAAGCTTTTGGTATATAAAAAATTTTGTCCTACCTAATGCTAAAACACAATTAAAAAAATTTTTTTTGAACGTATGAAGGGACTGGTATCCATGGAAATTCATTTCCTTAGCAACGGGTTCATAAATCCTTATGAAATCAACGATTTTTAGACATTTTACTATGAATATGTTTTCTGGAAGTTTGTGCTCAACACAACGGTTTTACTACCTACTACATGAGTATATGTCAAAGTCATTTTGGTATGTATATCTGCACTAGCAAAATTATAAAAAGGTTTTAAATTAATATTTGGACCTTTTTTGTAATGAAAAACATTTCATGCAATAGCAGGAGGGGGGGGGGTATCATTTTATGAGCTTGCTCACAATAATTCTAGTTTATGAACGAGAGTCACTATTACAGCTCACATAATTTTAAAGTAAAACCATATCAATCAGGCATGTAGCACCAGGTTTGGGTTGGGTAAGGGGGTGACATCCCCCACCCAACTTTTTTCTCAACATAACCTTATGTATACCCCCCCCCCCCGAGTTTGGAGAATTTCCCCACTTTTTTTTCTTGCTGTTTTTATGACTACCCCCACAGCATGCATTTTCAAAAACGATACCATGTCTGTCAAGAACGAATGACTGCAACCTTTGGTATTGAACTGATGATATATTCTCCTGCTGTCCTAATTAAGAAACAATATTGCAAGACAGGTATGACCTCAGTAGCTACAGGTGCCTAAAATAAAAAATCTGGAAGGGCTATATATACTCGTATATATATGAATGTCTACACTTGAACTGACCTCATAATAACCCTTATGAGTAATCTTTTGAATGGCATATATCGAAATTTTTGTTGTTCTTATATTTTAAATCATTTTGAAAACAATGTAGAAATTAGAAGAGAATGACAGATATGAATATTTTTTTTATATAATACCTAGAGATACAAAACATAAATTTTTAGGCACGTGTTGTCTGACTTTTAACTATCCCTATTTCTTTTTTCTCACAAAAACATTTTGTCAGTTTTGAAATTTATTTAATTGATTGATCATTAATATTGACCTTCTTTTAATTATGGCACTTCAAAATGCAGAATATAAAGATATGTTTCAGATTCTTCTACTATCTAATTATGAATCTGCATGATAAAAATTGATAGTTGTGCGATTTACATCAATTAAAAAAATGCTAACAGACAAACAAAGAATGTTACTTTTGGACTGAACATTTTTATTTGATCCACTTTCATGAATACAATGTACATTTTATGGATCAATTTCCTGGATCCCTGAGTCTCCGGTAACACTCCCCACATCAATGATCTGTACTGTAATAATGTATTCTCATAATCTGAAAAAGTGATAAAATTCAAATGTAATAAATATTATACAGCTTTGCCTTCATATACTTGGAACCATTTCTAGTTGAGGTTGAGCAATGATGATGAATGCAAAGCATGTTTATTGGAATCAATTAAATTCCAATGGTTTATCATTTTATTGTAAAAAAGTTAACGTTTTTACTAAATGTATCATTTACATGTTTATCCTGTCTAATTCTATATCAGCTCATCCGATTCTGTTTCTACTTCTTCCTGAGTTTGGCTTCAAAGTGCCGAATTTCATTCTAAAAACAGAAGTATACAACACAAAGTTGAGACCGTATCGATTTTAGATATTCTTTAAATTTCAAAACTTGAATAAAAAGGTCAACTGGTTATAGGTTTTGTCAAAACTCTAAATTATGTTTTTCATTTCTTTCCAATACCCCCCCCCCCCTCCTCAAGAAAAAATGGAGTATAGATATTCATTTCATTAATTTACGTGCTTTAAATCTAATGATACTTAATATTTGAACCTAGTTTACTTTAATTAGATCAGTGGTACCAGGGAAAATGTTAGCTGAATATGAATTTTCTTTTATAAGTAAACACTGGATGACATCAGCAAAAAGTTATTAATTATTTTACTGTGGTATATATACAATTCAGTTACCACTAGTTCACTACATAATGCACTTGTCTGTATCACAATACTTCCAAGGTAATCCCCTTTCCTAAACTAAAATATATTAAGTACAGAGTTAACCCCCTGCCCCTTTTTCATTTTTTTTACGGACGCCATAACAAAGGTCATTCCATTTTACAAATATTTCATAATAGTGTTGGTTTTCATTAATTCATAATTTTTCATGTAAAAAGCAGGTATTATCGTAAATTATAAATAAAGATATATACAATAATATACAAATTTTTTATCCGACTTTCAATTATAATCATTATAGCTGGTGAGTGACTTAGGTTACATACATACCGTGAAAACAACAAATTAAAATTAAACTTTATAATTTGGGATAGATTTATCATTATGTGACTGATCATGACCAATTTTTTCAAGTTAGGCCCACAGACACAATCTAAGTTGGGTAATTTAATTTCATTATTCATGTTATCATATCATATAGTTTAATATCGGCAATATTATTTGGGGCGCATACCCCCCCCCCCCTCCTGGTTCCTCAGGCCATGCATGCATAATCTTTTCTTTTAGTTATAAAATACTAAAGTAATGCTAACATATAATATATAATCAATCAGAATTAAATGTGCAAAATGTGCAAAAACACTTGCCAAGTCTTAGATATTTTACTGCATGGTTAATTTATGCTATACATTCTTCTGTAACTGTTGTAATGGTAAATTGTAAAAATTTCAATCACTCACCGTAATTAAGACTCATGAAAACGCCAAAACTGAGGCTCAGACTGCTCCAAGTTTGTAATTTTCTGCTAGTCTTCTGTACATTGTAATTGAAAACAATGTAAGCAAACTACCGTTTATTCCTCCTATGTTAGAGAGCCATACCAAAGGGAGGTAATTTGGAGCGAAAATGACAGAAAGTTATGGATTTAAATCAGTTATCATATATAAATGCTTTAGTTGCCTTCAATTTTTTTTCTTGATTCTTCTAGAACAAATACTGTTTAATAAACATTTTGTGTTAATAAGCTTTTATGTAGTTGTAGATTTCTTAAAGAGTACTTCAAATTTGCTGTTTTTTAAAGCAAAATAAACCTCAAAAAACTAGTTATGTTTATCAAAAGGTGAAGAAAATTTCAATAATCAACATTTGTTAAAATAGAGTATATTTACATAAATAAAATAATAATCTAAAAAGCTTTTTTTAATGACTAGTAATAAAAAAGTATTTGTTTAACCATAAATTCAAGTGTCATGATAAAGCACAAAACACGCTATCTGAAAGGCGCGTGGGTTCCATAGCAACAATGCGAAAAATTATTTTTTGCTTGCTTTTTTCTATCAAACCCTTTGTTCTGAAAAGAACAAAGTTGACATTGGTTCATTTTTGACCCTGTGAATTTCTGAAAAATCAGAACTACTCAGTTAAAGTTGAAAATATGTTTTATTTTACTTGGACTCTTGGTGACTTCATATCAAATAAAAATGACGTAATTTTTCTCCTGTCTATGTATTATGACGTCATGAATTTCGTCATTTTTCTCAAATCTTGAATATTTCGTTAAAAATGACCGAAAATTTAAGCTGTTTTTTAATATTTTGCATAGCCCCCAAATTCTGATCTGAAATGTTGAATGTTATAATGAAAGAACTGTTTCAGAAGATTCAAATCCATGAAAG